GGCAAAATCTGAAAATCTCTTCTGTAGAGCAGACTCTATGCTTTCAATGAAACTTGTTTTTATTTGATTGAAGTGTTGAAAGCCAGTATTACACAACTTAGTGCCTTCATACTGGTCATCTAGCTTTCTGACGTTAGGTCCATCACTAAAATGCATTAGCATCAAACTTTTGACTTTGATATTATGAAATAACAATGTCTGTAAACACTGGAAAACTAAAAGAAAACAAACCATGTTTTGCTCTTCCTAACATTTTCAAGTGCGCTTTCCAGGGAATCATGCTGACATGATATTAATGCAGTCCTGTCCTGGAGGTTCAGTGATAGACGACGCAAAGGTGCAAGGACAGCAGAAAGAGCAAAAATTCAACAATAACTTTTGACTTCAAGAGTTTCAAGAAACCTTTTTGACTTTGCTTTAGCATCAGCTGAAACCCTTTCTCTTGTCTCCAATAACTTCAAATAGAAAAGATAAATAGGAAAATACATCAATTTTGACTTTTATGAAAATAAAAAAAATACATTCAAAAGTTAAACATTTAGAGAGTTAAATACTTACCTGTTCCATATGGGTTATAATAAATTTGTAAGATGTAATCACATGGAGGATGGCTGTGACTTGATGGCTGTGACTTGATGACCAATCCATCTTGTTCCTCCGACTCTAGTTGGAATTAACAGCTTTTCATCCTGAGACTTTGTAGCTTCATATGTTTTCTGCAGAACTGCTCTATTCAGAGCGCTGTTGTGATAAAAATAATACAACCCTGCCAATAAAATGTTCACTCTCTCGTATGTCTTTACTTTTTTAGTTACATCCTTCAAGCTTAACTCTAGTCGATGAGCCATACAGTGGATAGTAACAATTGATGGACAGTCTTTTTCAAGGATAGCTCTAACACCAGATTTGCATCCTGTCATCACACTGGCTCCGTCACAACTCAAACCAACTAGCTTATTTGATATCTGACTCCAGTCCATCTTCAGATTACTGACAACTGTCTCTTGTAAACCGTGAACAATATTTTCTGCAGTTGCTTTATTTGCCGAATGAACACCAATGAAATCTACTGTCACAATACCTGCTCTGCATCCTCTAATGAACCACATCTCCTGCTCCTTCACAGCTGAATCAGTTGACCCATCTCCAATTAGATAAAAATTTAGTGTCTTTGACCTGATTAGCTATTTTCTGAAATTCCACATCAGCGATAGACTGAATAAAAACTTTGGCCGAGTTAATGTTTCTATATGTTCTGCCTAAATCAAATCCTTTCATACCATCTAAGTCACACATCCATGTAAAATCACTCAAAGGTCTGTTGTTTTTGATTAGTGCGTGACATGTACGGAACATTTTTTCCAACTTTTCAAAGTTCTCTTTGTTTAGTGTAGAGATAATCTTGCCAGCTTCAGACTCGTCTACAGGCTTGCTCTTACCCTCATTGACTTGAACAGCATATTTATGTTGTAAAGAATTTTCATGTTTAGTAACACTATCTAATTTGTAGGAGGTACAACCTGTAACGAACAGACGGGATCCAGTAGTACATGTTGGTATTTGTTGGCAGTAGGTGCATATCATACCCTTTTCAGAGTCAACTAACCATTCTCTATTTATCGTCCATGCAGTTAAAAACTTTCGTTGCCTTTTAGTTTTGTCAAATTGTCATGATAGTCTTCTCTATCTAACTTTGTTTTCTTCGGTTGACTGACGCCATCTATAAACCGCCACATGTTTACAATTGTCCAAATGAGTTAGACGCTTGCAGAGTTATGTTTCTCGGTTTCAAAAAGTAAACGCTTTACTGATAACGATCTAAAAAGTCATGATCATAAAGACGCGAATTTTTTTTGGTAAAGACAAGCGTTTTCATGATCAAAAATACGACTTATCGAAATAAAAGTAGAAAACATTCGGACAAAACTGGAAATTGTTAAGATTGCATTATAAAATCGCCCACACCGACGTTTAGATTGATAATCCCAAAGCAACCCGCATCCATTGGCTGCAAAACATGCGAGCAGTGAGGAAGCAGAACAATTTAATAACATTGTTGTTTTTCTCCCAATCTATTAAATCCGAGGAAACGTGGCTTCTGTGGCCGTCATAAAGCAAGTATACTATAAGTCTCAGACTTATCTCGAACTTGAACAAACATAGGAATGGGTTTTTTTTTTAAATATATGAACGAAAAACTTCAGCGTCCACTAGGTGTCACTGTTCCGTCAGCACCAACAGATTTCACTTTCATATGTTCCGGCATCATTCACTGGCCTGGAAAACACAAAAGTATGGTGAGGTTTGATTTCCCAGTGCATTCCCAACACCAAATACTGTAATTGTTTTTTTACTCTTTTCTAACATTGAGGATGGTATCCTTTTTCCTGCAACTATATTAGGGGACTTTAAACTCTGTATTCATTCCTTTTTTATCTGATAGTATGTTTATATATGAATGGGGCTTGTCCTTTTATACTTAAGTTATGCTATTTTAACTAATTGAATATGTATGTAGGCATTTAAGTGTCAGTGATGAGTATTTCAGTTTAGATAGTGTTATCAGATGATTTCTACCTATTACACCCGTCCAATAAGAACAGTATGACGACTTTGAAAAATATTGCTTTGAGGTAGAGTGGTTTTACCGCATAGACCCATGCTAGTAGAAGTACACAGACAAGACAATTCCGATTTTATTGATTATATGTTGTTTAAGGTCCCTCTTGAGAATTTTTCACATACATTTCGACGCCACACCTTGCCTGTGGAGAGCTACTAATTTTGTCCTACATTCGGCACCCGGGGGCATAGAGCAGTTAGAGATCTTTTTCGTACCAGTACCTACTGCCACACGGGTTCTCGGTTCATAGGGTCTCATCCAAAGGACCGGTCTCCACATCCCACGATGGGATTCAAACCCGCGACGTAAGGATCAACTCCTTACTTCGCGACTCTAGGGCAGACACTCTTACCACTGCGCAACTCCGACTTAATTAATGCTGTAAATGAATTAGAAAAAGGGTGAACCAGGTCCAATGACGGTAACATTCATCGGCTCCCTTTATCGACATCTGCTACCAGTTCAGATTGAGATTGACTTCTACTTCGTTTGCCAGAAATATCGATGTCCCAACTTTTTATTACAGTAGAATAATGAGAAAACCAGGACATTTGCAGAGTGCACCAAAATGATGAAGGAGATAAACATTATTTGAATAAGTTCCTAGCGCCAAAAACACTTGGCTTAAAATAAAACTGTCCTGTAATACTAGTTACACATTTCAATGACACTTCAATGGATGGTAAAATTGGAACTGTGCAATGAATGGATGGTGAATTCACCAATTTTTTGATATTGCAGGGTCTCCAAAGCTATCAAGATCACTAGATTTGTTTTTACAAGGTTTGAATTTGTGACAAGAAGATTAATAGCCAAGATCCCCTTGCTTATGCATTTACAATTCATAAATCCCAAAGGTTTGGGTTTAGATTATGTTGTTGTTGACTGTAAAACTGCTACAATACCTGGACAGATTGGTGGGTCAGCGGCAGATCTATCTGTTGGTGGTCTTTTTGTCTAAAAGTTTAAATCATTTTTATGTAGTAATCGTGGTCGAATTGGAAATGCGCAAATTGATCTTCAGTGTTGTAAAGCTGAATACATGTACATAGCCGATAATGGTGGTGATTGTGACGATGACCATGGTAATGGTGGTGGTGATCATGATTCTGATAAATCAGACACTAATTCTTAAATAGAAGGATTTGATGAAAATATTGAAATTTCAAACTGTAGAGATACAGATTCAGAGTGACACAAGGATTGTCAATTCTATACGAGATTCTATCATTACGACTTGCATAGATACAACTATTATACGTGTATATTCGAGGCGACAATTGCTATGAATACAACGATGAAAGACCCAGAAAAACCTCTTGTCAATATTCATTAGAAAGAAGTGAATTACCCTTGTGGAGAGTGCTTGATGGAGTGTGAAGAAGATTGTGTCGCCTGTGATGGCTGCGACACATGGTTTCACGGAAATGTATTGATATGATAGACTTGATACAAAATTATCTGTGGTTCCGTCTACACTGTTCTAAATCAGTAAAACGTGATTAAAACTTATTACATGAATTCTGGAATATATGTACCTTTTTATGATAATCGGAAAAGAGTAACCATGACCGATATGTTATTCAAAGTTTATTTCCAATAAAAAAAATTACCTGTGATATATTTGGAGACTTTTAAAGGATATGACATTAAGGTATTTATGGGCAGCATTAGCCCATACCTGAAAAATATTTACGTAGAGAAAGGAGCAGCACCTTCACTTATGCCCGCGTTAAACTTCCTCGACATTGTGGTCTGTCTAGCATTGCATTTCATTGTTCGGCAGTATGTCAAGTAGCTGAGGGTAGTATTATTCCCATTATTCAGTCCACGCTGCTGACAAAAACATATTTTATTAACATCAGAATTGATTCTGTTGGAAATGATGGATACTGATGATTGCACAGGCATCCCCCTTATATAAAATCATAAAATCTTCCGTTAATTACGGTAAACATAGATCAACATACACCGTGAAGCATCATGTTGAAACATCATCTACCTTTCACTCCCTTGTTAAAGGCCCATTTAATAGTCAACCTGTATAATTTATCCACCTGCCAACCCTTTATAGTCGTCTATAAGGACCGATACACTTCCTTGTTTTAAATTCTGTGAATCCGACTAAAAATCAAAGCAAGCGAGTTAATCGGTCTGTAGAGACGGCTATAAAGGGTTGGAAAGTACAAGTTAAAATTATACACCATGGTGGTTAGACTAGTACGTGTCGAGACTTAAGGATTGAAAGATAGAGGATTAAACAATGCTAGGCTAGAAAGTGGAGAAATTCTCCCTAAGAGTGCGCAGAAAATTCTGCGCAGTAAATTGCAGTTTTGATCTGTATCGTTATGGTTAAAGACTAATATATAAAATCACAATGCAACAGTTCTGCAGCTATTCTGAGGGGAACTGGTGCTCAGTGAACTTCAGGATAGGCGTGGGAAGTATTTTCCTTGGCACTACCACCATATCCTCCTTTGAGCCTTCTAAGGTGATATAGAAATACTTACAGGGAATCGAGTTGTACATGTATGATTGTATCTCTTTCCCTCCCCTGGAACATCGTGAATGATCATCGCAGAAAAACCAGAATCATCCACTCTTCTTCGGGGGTCCGCTGTTGAAACAGTATTCTTCTCTATCACTCGCATCTGCCTCTGGACTTCCTTTTTTAATAAGTATGTACTAAATAACCAAACCTGAACGACATACATGTAGTTTGTAAATAATAATCAATAATACATATTGGTAATGATCAATTAAGTATCATATCTTTGTCTATTAAAGGAGTCATCCATCCAATACATACGTCCAGCTACAACATACTGACACAGGCAAATGAGGTAAACTTTTGATAATGAAATAATAAAAACATAACAAAGTGTACACACCAAAAAATCATTTTTTGGACTAGGTCGTATAATGCCCCTCTTTAAGAGTCCGAAATGCCATCTCTCTCCCTATTGGCTAGTGCTATTGGAACGAACTCATAGGTTTACTCTAGCTACCTGTATCAATTTCATGTTCCATTAAATTGGTTTTGTTCGAGTTCTCTTTCGTCTTTTGAAAATGCATCCTGATGGTCAAACAAAAATTTTCGAAAGGCTTCCTTTCTCTGACACTTAAGGACTAGAAGATCTGTCATACAACTCACGTAAATGATCTGGAATCTCGCATACCGTGGAGAAACACCATCCAGGCAGCAGTTCATCAGATCTTCGAAGGCTTCCTAGGTCTTTATATACCTTTTGAATTACATCAGTTCTATATCCATATTCTACATCCCTCAACAGTACCCTCTACTGTGTCTGGATAAAGCATTTTTGCCGCCTCTTCAAAAGGATTCATAACTCTCAGAGGAACACCAACACTCTCTTAAATGTTAAGAACTGCTGTGACGTACAGTAAAGAAATCTTTTCGATATGATCTCAACTTGACATAAGGTCGTCATCAAAACTAACGTCACATTTTCGATGAATAAAAACCGGTAATATAACTTTGGTATTCCAGGTATATCAAACTTCTCTACACAACGGAGAGTAATATCTTTGTAAACACCACGTTGTATACATGAAATATCATGACCATTGAACCTTATCAGTCCTCTACTCGGGAGAATATCTGCCTGACCCATCCCACTCCATTCCATTCCCATACACATGTACGGTACTTACATCAGCTCCTCGCAAGCACTACTTACCTTCAAGTTAGGTATATTCACCTTTTGGATTTGTTCATACACTTTGTATGAATTTAAGGTTATGGAGATAACGAACATTATTTAAAATCAAAGTCCTTAAAACAAGACAAAATAGGAGCAGAGCAAACACGGACCTCGAAAACATCCGAGGTGGGATCAGGTACCATGGAGGAGTGAGTATTCCCTTCCGACCGGTCACACCCGCCGTGTGCTCCTTGTCATGATCGGGAATAACGGAAAAACCCGTCGTCCATTCAGTGTTTAAATTATGGACTAACAATAAATATGAACACGTCAATCAGCATTTGACTTAATGATAAGTTGTATTTGCTGACAAGGTCATTGTATCGATCACAGAACTTACGAAATCATGACTTTAAACGAGACTATTGATACTCTTGTTTCAACTTGTTTGTCAGTAATTTACCTCGTTTAAGAAATTGTTCATACGTAGAGCATGCTCTTGCTTATCTAATCAACTGAGATATATAAACTCCGTATGCAGGTGATTGGGGTATATTGTTGCATAAGTAAGGGAAGTTGACGATAGAAAAGTTAAAGTCATCACGTTTATCACAGAGCTTGGTTGTTAAATTACTAATAATGTCTTTTTCAAGTAAAATATCCAAGTATGAAACAGATGTGTCAGACTCTGTGCAGTACACAATTGAATGCACCGGTGTCTGTTGTAATGTGGACATCTAACCATTTACTTTTCCTTCTTTGTACATGTACACACTATCAGCTGGTATCCGTTTTGATATTTATAAAAACGGAAATATTCAAATGCATTAAAATCGTCTGGTTGTCTGTCCTTTGGTAGGTCTAAACTGTCCGTAAGTTTCTTCTGTAGCCTGTCCTTGACCCATATGAACTGTCTGTTTAAAGGTGCCTTTGAGACTTGCCAAGTCATAAATTCTCTTTGGTCAGTCCCTTATAAAGACTTCATCTTTGAAATAAAACGGCTATATTTCTTTGGTCTGTCATAGGAGCAACTTGACCAGATGACTCGTCTGGTTGAGATATAACAGTAACTAGCTGCCATAGCTTTGGCAACAGGTACTTAATTATTGTTAACCATTCACTGAATAAAATAATGGGTCTTTTGCACAATACTCCATTCGAGTTTCACTTGCATTTGAGACTCTTCAACCCTCGCCATAAACGCATCTTGTTATCATAAGGCTTTCGGTTTATAACACATTCATAAATTGTGACTGAAATGAACTTTTTTGATTGTGTTATTACTTCAAAAATTATGTCAGAATCCTGATTGTTAGACAAATATAAAAATAATGTAACATGGGACAAAATTTTGGCACAAATTTACTATCCCCCCAAAAAAAATTTTAACAGGGATAGTAGTACATTATGTGTACTTCCAATTTATCTCATACGTGTTGGTGATACAGGCCGTTGGATAAACTTATGCTTTATCAACGGGTAGATGCTTTATCAATAGCACTTCCGGTTTTGACACGAACCCTCGCTTCAAGATTTTATTTTATTGAAACTTTTATTTGTGAAAATTGTTGCCCTTATAAAATGAATGATAAAGGGTAGCAATATCGTTAAAAGCAAGATGTCAAAGAAGTGTCTTATTTTATCAAGGAACCCGTTGGCTATTTGAAGACAGATGTTACCCCCCCCCCCCCTCTTAGATCGTTTTCGGAGAAAGTAAAGCCTACATGTACCAGTTAAGTTGTTGTTATAAGACTCCTTTGACATCTTTAACAATGCTTTCTTATATTATACTACGTATGCCTACCTAGTAATGTAGGTGTAACTTACCATGGATCAGCAAACAATCTAGCCTTGCCTAGCTCACGATTTGTACTGCCATCGTAAAAAGAGTTGATTTTCACGATCCCCATAGTCCTAACAACTTTCAGTCAGAAGTTCGTTTGATGTAAAGCTCCAGCAATTTTCACATGATGTTTTCAAAGACACAGATAGCAAATATTCTAAATTTTGAACTCGATCTACTTTCTCTCGACGCATGTAAACATCAACGGTGCTACGTCATCAAGTTATACGTCATCAATTTGATTTTGGCAGTCATTCATGTAGTTTCGCAGGGGAAGTCTCAAAGTTTTGTTAAAACGAAAGTCGTATGAGATAAATAGAACATCTATAATTGTGTGATTTGATATTGGCTTTATCCAACTCGTTGAAATGGTGTATATTCGCTCGTCAAGCCTCGCGAATATATACACCATTTCAACTCGTTGGATAAAGCCAATATCAAATCACACAATATAGATATCCTCTATATTCACAATGGCCAAATGCTTGTTAATCACAGTAAAATATTGAATAATTTCCGCAACAATCAAAAATTGTTAGATTTGGAGGTCCAATCCAAACTGCATGAATACATTAAAACTTCAGAGGATATTTGATATCAATGTGACTAGTCTCCAGAAATACTAGTACATGTATTTCATACCCCAGTAAAGTTCAAGGAAATGAGCTGTGATTGTAATATTAATTTGAAATGATTTGAAATGAAATACAGATGATAAATAAAATTAAAAGATTTTTTCAACATTCAAATTATCAGGATAATATATAAAACCACTTTGGGTTTCAATAATTATTTCATTTCTCCCAAATACTGTATTGAGGCTTGGTGCATAGTCAATGTTAAAATCTACAATTAGATTAAAATCTAAATCTAAATTAGTTAAGTAGTAAATTGCAATTTAAAAAAAAGTATTTCTTATTTTCAGAGCTTCCAGAACTTCTGCAGAAGATAAGGAAAGTTAAGAGCAGTACATCCCCACCAAGCAGCACCTCAGTTGTGCCAAAGCCAACTGCCACCACCTCATCAGTTGTTCCAAAGACTCCTATCTTACCACAGAGGAGTCCTTTGACACCAGTGTCACCTGTTTCACCGGAAGACAACAATGCAGAAGAGGTACATGTAAATCTATGTACTGAATAAAATGTTCTTACCTGTTCGATTTAAATATAAAAATGTAACAAGAAGGAATCTATCAATCTGTCATCATTTGATTATAGTATAACAAAAAATATTTTATAGATAAGACAATTTTGCAAAAATTACACTGTACCAGTCACAAATTATTTCTTATAAATTCAGGTATTTTACGCATGCAAGTTTGATACTTTCATGATGTCTATATCAACTAATTTGGTTTATTATTTCATGACTTCTTGCCTATAATCTGAACGAATAACTCTTCCTATAGATATATGAGTTTAAATGGATTTGACAAAAGTTTACAAATACCAAGCAAGGATAGTAGAGCTTAGTATCAGTTGTCGAGCATCTTTGATCATCATTTTTAAAAATGGAAACATGGCAGTGTTCTACTAAATCTCTAGAATTTGTTGTTCATTTCCTGTAAATAAATATTTTTGTTATAAATTTTAACCACTGAAATTGAAAAATGCGGAAATTTATTTGCTAAGATTGATGGTTCAATTTGTAAAGATTTCCTACCACAGAAAATACCTGTTAATGATATTTTTAAAATTAATTAAAGGCAGGACTAAATATAACAAAATACGGAGACTTGTGTTGCAATATATATATCCAGATCAAATTGTCTATTAATCTAGAAACGAAACAAGTTTCATGCACTTTTAAAGCCTGTATTAACAAACCTAAAGAAAAAAAAGTGTTAACATCATTTATTGTATCTTGATTGGAATAAAAATGATTATAAATGAACTTAATGTCCATTGTAAAACTAATTAATTGAAATTTTTCTCAGGTTTTGAATTTTGGCACTGCCCAACTGGTGAAAAAAGATGTCTTTCGGCATGTTGGTTCCAAGTCTTCCCATCTTGTAAACTACCTATTGGAGGAAGGTTTTACAGACGAGGAACTTGGAACATGCAGCTTGAAGGGTGCCAAGGGTCGCTGCAAGGATTCAACTGACGTCAAGCCAGCCCTTGATGGGGACAAGCTTGCAGACATCATAGGTAAGATTTAATTAAATTTTTAAATCTAGGCTATCTTTATTAATTTCTTCATGCCTGTTTGAATGATATTTATTGTCTGGAATTGAACAAATAATGTAAGCAAGTCATGGCTAAGTAAAGAAAATTATTATTATGTTATTATTAAAGCTAAATTATCAAGAAAAAGTTAGAAATTATAGAAAGGTGTTTTGAAAACCAGAATTTTTGGAAAAGAATTGTAAGTTACATGTAAAGACAGTGTCAATTCCTACCATTTATAACAATATTGCTTCTGATGCTCAGAATATTATTCTTATTTTCTTGTGTTTATTTCAGCTTTCACCAAGTCGCAGTGGAATGTTTCCGAAGACGAGATTAAGAAGATCATCAGAAACAAGCTAAACAACTGCCACAAAAAAGCCAGGGGATTGGAGAGACCTCCTTCCACCACTTAGGAAAGTTCCACCACTTAGGAAAGACTACAATTTCTACTGACATTGATTGCCATTCCACATTTTAGGGATTTATGCAGTATTTCTGTGTAGTATTTATTGTAGTAAATAGTGATAGTATTTATTTTTTTTAATGTTGTCATATTTATTCATAGTGCTTGCTTTTTAACTTATTTTTGAACTATTTAACAAACTTTTGATGGCAAAGCATTATAAGTATTGTTTTAAGAGGTCTATCTGTATATATGTATACACTGTTTTTTTCAAAGTTGTGATATGTACATATTGTTTTATTGTTTTGTGATATGATTGAAACAGAAAGCGTTTCATTTTTAGAACTATCATTTTTCAAATATTTATTTTTAGAAAAAAGTTTATCTGTTTTGCATGTTGTTCAAGTATTTGCCCCCTTTTTGTTGTAAATTTTAAATATTGTTGTTTTCTTTTTTTCAACCCTTAAAATAACTCTGAAGAATGTGCCAAAATTTTATGTTAACAGCAGGGTTGTCCCTAAGAATTAAAAGAGCAGGGCTCTTTGAATGGAAAAGTTTAAAAGATTCTAGCCCCCCCCTCCCCCTGCAGTTGAGGAGGATACCAGAATAACTCGGGAGGGAGGTGTTTGTTAATCATTATAGTTCAGATTTCTGTAGTTGTTAGGGACAACCCTGCTGTTAAAAATACATTTTAAAACATTATCAGCATTGTCTAATTCAACAAATTTTGTTAAACAGTGTAATGTTCATATTCAGAAGAGGGAACCTTGTAAATTTTTCTGTGATAAACATATAAAAAAAATTGTATATTCTTTTAAACATTGTATATTTTTTCTTTCATAAAAACTTTACTTAACAGATCTCAGGTTTCACCCCAATATACTGACTTCATTCAATATTTACAACATGAGAATTCCATGCATTTTGTATGCCATATATTTTATTAAATTTATTGGATGCTCTAGATTTAGTTTATGATATTGAATGTTTTCATTGATTAATAAAGGAATGATTTTTTAATACGAGTTTGTTTTTTCTTACTTTGGTGTTTAGTCTCTGACTTTGTTATAAGTAGTTAATATCGTCCAGTTTTCAGTGTAGAAATCAAAGTGTTAAAGTGATATTTCATAATTATAGTATATCAGAGTCTTCAAATGTATCACTATAGTTAATCAAAGTGTTCACTATAGTAAATTAAAGTTTTAACTATAGTAAGTGTCAAAGTTTTTCAAAGTGTCAAAGTTTTTGCCAAAGTTTTTCAAAGTGTCAAAGTTTTTGCCAAAGTTTTTCAAAGTATCAAAGTTATCACTATAGTAAACCAAAGTTTTCAAAGTGTCAAAGTTATAACTATAGTAAACTATAGTTAACTATAGTTAACTATAGTTTTTTTTGTTAGGGCTGGCCTACTCGGCTGTGCCACACTGCTACATTGATTAGACAGGTTATTCAAAATTGCCTGCATCTCATCGATTTTTTAGCTCTACTGGTCATAGACCAGAAGAGCTTATGCGATTGTAATGCGTCCGTCGTCCGTCCGTCTGTCTGTCAGTAAACAATTTTTCAAAATGCTACTCTTCCTACAGTTTTGGTCTGATTTTCGAAAGGCTTCCCATCTCTGACACTTAAGGACTAGAAGATCCGTCATACAACTGACGTATGATCTGGAATCTCGCATACCGTTGATATTTCCATTTCCAATTGTTTTCCATATGATAAACACTACAAAAGTAAATCTTGTTTATTCTCCATGATTCCTGTGGCTGGTAAATTTCTCTATATTCAAATAATACTGAAAGGTCAAAGTTCATGTATACGTATGTTACATGACTGGCGTATAAATACTGAAGAAAAAATAGATCTTTTGTTAAATTATTTACTTAGTAATTATATATGATATATATTTTTACAAACAAAATAAATAATGAATTATCTCCGGATCAAAAGCAAGTCACCAAGTCCACTACCACCCGGGACTCGCGAGACCCAATTGCATCATCTCGGGTCTTTCCATCAGAGATCGGAAAAACAACCTCGAATGTATTAACATCACGGAGGTTAAAAATTTATACATTTCCTGTTTATTCAAATACATGTATAGGATAGACGGAATTAGAAGTCCCTTCTATAGTATTTTTTAGGTTATATCATTACATTGAATAAAGTTAAACACCATATTCCATAGATAAAAGGTGTATACATGCATTTACTTCAAAGATCGTAAAAAGGGAGGGTTGTAGTGGCGTCTGCCATATACATTCGAGGTCGTTTTTCCGCTAGCCGGAAAGGCCCGAGAAGTTGCGATTCTCGCGAGACCGAGAACTCCACTTCCGTAAACATGGTAAACAGCCTATCTGAACCACGTGGAGAAATCTTCATTGCCACATAGATCTGCACTCCACCATCTGATACAGACATCGTCCCTCAGTCAATACCATCCGACTTATTAAGCAACTCAACATCCTCTGTTATTTTAACATCCACACAAATCTGTTTCCAGACCATGCTGACCAACTCTCGTTTCATTAACTGTAACATTGCATTCAATATGGCGGCGGACAAGGAGAAGTGTCCTAAGGCCTATACACGTTTTCGTGCTTCCGACAACCTAAATCTAGGTCACATTTATAATTAAAGCTAATAAGATTGCTTTGGTCATAATTTTAAATTCTTTTGTTGTTTATTCTATAAATGTTGATATTTGGCTACAGTAACCAAATAATCATTAAATTTGGTTCATGTTTTATGGGACTATTTTTTATAGTAAATTTTGACGTCATGGGGCGGGGCAATTGAAAAGAACATGAAATGCCTCGTGTATTTCAAATCTACTAAATTAGACTGTATTCCGATTTATTCTAAGAATGTTATTTCAAGTAAAAATTGAAATATAAGGAATCACTGTCTAGTTAGTACGGGATGCCTCCGCTCGTTATGCAAATTATCCCATGTTACCCACTATTGTTGATGCCCTGACATACCCTCCTAACTATAGACAGTGATTCCTTAAATAACTTGGCACACAAATAGACCACACTAAGAATATCGGTTTTTGATTTATATGAACGGTGTTGCCGTGGTTACTAAAAATAAAAATAGAAAAATTGAAATTTCTTTGAAATACTAAATTTAAAATGCTACTCCTCCAGCAGTTTTGGTCTGATTTCAATATAACTTGGCACACAAGTATATGACACTAAGATACATAATTATGTGTATCAGTTTTTGATTTCGGTAAACGGTGCGGCCATAAAAATACACTTATAGTCGAGAATATAGGGTACTTTCAAAATGTTATTCCAAAGCCAGTTTAACTTTGATTATAATATAATTTGGCATGCAAGTAGACTTGAGATACATAAAATCAGTTTTGTGTTTTTAGCTCTACTGGTCAGAGACCAGAAGAGCTAATGCGATAGTAATGCGTCCGTCGTCCATCCGTCTGTCTGTAAACAATTTTTCAAAATGCTACTCCTCCTACAGTTTTCATCTGATTTCAATATAACTTGGCTCACAAGTAGACTACACTAAGATACATAATTCTGTTTATCAGTTTTTGATTTCGATGAACGGTGTTGCAGTGGTTAATAAAAATAGAAATTTCTCTGAAATACTTTTAAAATGCTACTCCTCCTACAGTTTGGGTCTGATTTCAGTATAACTTGGCAAACAGGTAGACTACACTAAGATACATAATTCTGTATATCGGTTTTTAGCCGGGCTTATTGCTCAAAGGGCAATTGCCGGCTTATGTGATCCTGTTCAAGGCAGGATGTTAACCCCATAGTCGCCATTTCAAAGTTACGTGCAAAAATATAGTTCTTACTTTCAACCGCTTTTGAGATAATACAAACGCTAAATAAAGCAACAAAAATAAAATGAAGTTTTATCTATATAAAATAAACATTAGTAGTAATGACTTTGAAAACTTCATAAGTCAAAGAACATAGTTCATTAGCGTAAGGATTTTTGATAATCAGTGTTACCGTAGTTCTCTACACATACGAGGTAAAGCAGGAGGGGGAACCAGACTGGCCTTTTTGTTTACATTCAGCTGCGGTACCAGATTAATTCTGATTCTGACAAAATCGGACCGTGGTATTAGGACTGAAAAACTTACTGTCAGTGTCTTATCATTTATATTGATAGTTTTAAAATAATTTTTTCATCAGAATATAAACGTGATTCATGTAAGAAATCCATTCTACTCTGTAAATGAGCCCGGCTCTCTGTACTTCTGAGTACTTTGATTGATTTCGATGAACGGTTTTGTCGTGGTTACTAAAAATAGAAATTTCTGTGAAATACTTTTAAAATGCTTCTCCTCCTACAGATTTGGTCTGATTTCAATATAACTTGGCACACAAGTAGTCTACACTAAGATAACTTATTCTGTATATCGGTTGTAGATTTTGATGAACGGTGTTGCCGTGGTGACTAAAAATAAAAAATTCTGTGAAATACTTTTAAAATGCTACTCCTCCTACAGTTTTGGTCTGATTTCAGTATAACTTGGCACATAAGTAGACTACATGTACACTAAGATAATGTTTCAATTTTTTGATTTCGATGAACGGTGTTGCTTAGTTTACTAAAAATAGACATTTCTGTGAAATGTTTTCAAATGCGGGTGTTGCTAAAACGCGGAACGGAAAACGGAACGGAACGGAAAACGGAAAATTTTTGTCAAACATAGATTCGATATAAATCAGATAAAAGAGCAATATTCTTGCTTTAAGAATCATTTCTGATAAAAATTTAATGTAAACTATTAATATATATTTATGAGTCATACACACCCTCCGTGGAAAAATTGGTACTGAAAGAAATTCGACCCCCCCCCCCCCACACACACACACACGAAATAGGATTTTGTGTTTGGGCAAAGGACATATCCCCCTTTTTTGGCTTGTCAAATTTGTTGTATGTTGAAAAATTTTTACTGACCCCCTCCCCAATTTGTTTCCAATGTCAATGTATATTCAGATTAAGCACGCGGTGTCGAATTCGCGA